GGCTGCGCCTGCAGACGGGGCGGCAGGAGGGCCGCGCGGTTTAGCAGAAAACCATTGCTACGAGAGGAGGGTGAAGGCTTCGTCACCTGCCCTCCCAGAGCAGATCGGGGCAGGTTCCCTTTGACCAGTAATACTCTGACAAACCTAGATTTCGTGTCTCAAGAGACTGTACCTTTAACTTAAAATGACCTTGGTTTTGGCGTTTGCTGTTTCTCTTTGCTTTTCACTTTGAAAGAGTACTGCTAGGAAAAGAGGAATAGAGTGAAGTAACTTTATAGGAAAAAAAATTGAAATAATTTTTTTTCAAGTGATAACTAATAACTACTACATGTGCCTGACAGCACAGCAGGATTAAAGAAATTACTGATGTCATCTAGACAAATAACCTTCCATCCATAGTCCACATTATATCCAGATTCAGTGATTGCTTCCTAGCAGGGAACGTGACCTGTGCACCTTTTACCTCAAAAATTAAGTTACAAAAGATGGTTCTATTAAAATCTCAACAACAGAATTGAAAAACAAGTTTGTATCCAGCTATGAAGAAACAGGCTGCTAGAATGAACAGATCAGTCTGTTCTCAGCAATTTTTCTAGCAAAAAAAGTCAAGTAATTGGAACAATATGAAACACCAAGGGCAGAACATGATGTGAATTAAGTGGCTTTAGACTTAAGAACAAACATTATATCAAAGACTTGTGAGCATCAGTGGATGCTGGATAAAAAACAGAAATTAACACAGGGTCACCAGACATATTTTGCCCGAGAAGGCTTTGTGCTTTTTTAATGGCCTCTCTTACGATTAACTCAGCATTTATAAACATTGAGAGCCATAATAAAGACATAGAAGCTGTCAAACCCGAAGGATTACCTCAAAAGAAAAAGGACAAGTCAAAGCACTAATACAAAATCAATCAGTCTTTCTAATGTTTGGCAGTGCTAGGAAACAGCAAACGAGGCAGTCTTCACTTAAAATAGTGCAATGTTGCTTAACGTGAAGAAGTAAAGTTACATGCTTTACAATTCAAAACCACACAATGATCAGGGGTCACTAAAGGACGTGGCCTTATTTCCTTAAAAAAGTGGGAATTTTTAATATGGACAGATAGGTTAGGGTCAAAAACTGTAGGAGGCACTTTCCTTCACTCTCTTGGAGGAATTGAAACCAGAGCAATACCACGGCCGGTAGAACCTGAGGAAACACATCCCTCTAGTGGCAAAATTTGCCAGGTAAGAGAGTTCCGAAAGATGCATAGAAGTCAGTAATATTTGGGGAGTTGTTGATTTTGGTTTTTTTAGTGAGTCACTTTAAGAAATCTTTTACAGACAGAGACTGCATAGGAGGAGAGACTAGAGAAAATGAAAGAGCATACAAGCATAGATTACACATACACAAGAGGAAAAAGGTTTAAAAGTGGTGAAAAACTAATGAAGAAGCAACATGTCTGACACTATCAGGGATGAAAAGTATTAACAGATAAGAGAGAAACTTTTGAGATAATGCAGAGAAAATTGTAAGATTTTGAACAATATCCAAAATAAGTTTGACTACAAGTAATGAGAAAAAAGGTATTTGTTTCAAGTGGTAAAGAGAATCCCAATACTCCAAAGGTCTAAAGGTATTTTTCTTACTTAGTTCATCTTCCACAAGTTATCTGATACAAGGCACTGTGGGAAAAAAAAAGCCTTGCAGTTTCTCCTACCTTTCATTTAAAACTTTAAATATTAGAAGTGACATGATGAAGACTAACATTACCAACTTGTTTCACATACATTAGGTCACAGAGTCCATTCTGCATGGATGTTCTGGAGAAAGGGAGTAATTGCTGGCAACTGATATAAGACATTTTCTCTGATTAACAACTTTAGCAGTTATACGAGTTTAACTGCCACAGAGTTTCTTCCAAATTACCGGAATCAACACAAGTATTGTTTAACTTTATTAATTTCCATCAGTAAACAGCAGGATGTATATTACATAGCTCAGTCACAATTTGTTGGTATGCATTTAAGACCGTGCATACTGCCTTAAAATGGTTTAATTGTCAGGTGTGGATTTCATAGAATTGTCAACAAGATTTTTATCAGGTGTTTCATAATGATACCAAGGTCCATCTCCCCTGTGCCTCATCAGTCTACGTGCCTCCAACTCCAACAGCCTAAAAAAAAGAGCAACAGACACACTCTACATTAAGTTCATTGGTCTTCATCATACATCCATCAATGTTTAACATTAGTGCCTTACTGACACCAGCAATGAGTTTATCATCTACGGTTTATAAATACTACTGAAACATAGGTAGTACCAAAATATGAAGGGTTCAACTAAAATATGAGCTATTACATTCTTCTATTTCAATTTTTTCAGCAAGTTATCTCACAAAAGAGCAACAAAAATACTTGGAGGAGTTCTGTCACAGGTTCTTGCCTAGTAAGGGTCTAGGTAGTTTTGGTACAGCTTTCAAATAGAAATAAATAGGAGCAAGAAAACCCAAAGTAAATGTGATGGTAGAAGGAGTCTTGGTCCCAATAGCAACAGCGCATGGAACTCAGGCTTTCTTCTACCACCACAATTTACTCTGAGTAAGTACAGAATAAACTCAATACAACATGGTTGTCGTCACCCACAAAAATTTCCAACAGCAACAAAGAACGTGACCAGTCCTGTAAACTGTCATTTAGCTACTCAATTCACTTATAAAAAGAACTGTTCATTTCCTGACTCAGGAGGACAGAGCTATACCTTTATAAATATGAACAGTTTTGAAAAGACGCTGGTTTTTTACAAGACTGCCCTTGGATCATTGCAGTTTTGGTAATACTGAGAAGGCAAGGACTACGGATACCGTAACTTCCACTTTGCCACCGGCCAATTCAGCAAGCACTCAGGGCCAAGTGATACATGCACAAGCACCAACCAACTCTGTATGTTAAGCAAAATAAAAGAGTCAACTACAGTTTGTAATTGTATTTTAAAACCCTCAACTATGTAACATACCTCAGTTGAGTTTTCTTCGCTTCAACATCAAGAATAGCCAACTCTTTCTCATAGTCCTTTTCAGGGGGGTCAAAGAAGTAACGAGCTATCCAGCGACTTATAGGGTGCTGGAAAACAGAAGAGCAGAAAATTATCCACAGAATTTCCAAGTAGAAATGTCATCATAAATAAATCATTTTGCACGTTCCCAGTTCTGAAAACACGTCATCAACACTATGGGTGCCACTCAAATCGTAACAGTAAAGTTAAGCTCAACTATTTGTAAGATCAGGCCCTAAAAAGCTGTATTTCTTTTGCCATTTTTAATGCCAAGATAACCTGCAGATGACTATTCTATAGCAAAATTAAAAGTTAATGGAAGACATGTGATTTAATTTCTTTATGCTGAAGTTCCTTGAACTGCCACTGCAATCACAGAAATGGTCTCCAAGCCTCTTACCACAATCAGTAACATTTAAAGTTTTGCTTGCAGACAGAGGTAATTTCACTAGGAACAAAAGTCTAAATGAGTTGAAACAGTCATAATAGCATTGCTGAATTCAGTTACTTCCTATCAATACCAAAAAAAATGCTTGCAGCAAGAAGCCAGGGACTAATTTTTAGAAAATACAATGAAATGAAAAAAGTATAACCTTGAGTTTTTTACTATAAAAGTCTTCAAGTCTAGACATAAAAGCATGGTTGGACTTTCAAACAACACAAAAGAAATTACTGTGACTTTAAACTCCAGTATCTTAAGATGATGTAGAAGAACAGCAAGAAACGAAAACTGCATGCTAAGAATAAAGAGAACAAAAGACTGTTCTTACTATTTAGGAATATTATAAAAGAATTCTTGGCATATAGCTTCAACGGTTTACTTGCGTAAAGTTACAGATCATTTGCATCTACTTGCATCAATAAGCAGATTTCCTACATGCCTGTTCCATAAAGCTGAAAAAAGCAAGTTTACCAAAATGGTATATGCACAATTCAAGTTCTAGAACACTGATACCCAATGGCAGGGATATGGCCATCCGCATTATCATACTCCACACAGTTTACTTCCAAAAGTGTCATCGTGAGGAAGGCCGTCCATAACATGCCGCCTTGTTATATAGTACACTTACCTTGTAGTATTCCCAGTACTCTGGAACATAACCTTCAGGAATCTCTGCAAGTTCAGCTTCACCTGACAAGGAAAGGAGGGGAGGAACATTTAATTTTTTAAGTACCTTATATTCTGCCTTTCACATTAGGAAAATATCATTATTTCACATGGAGAGTACTTAATCCCTCAAGCTGAGCTCTATTCAGAAAAATTGGACTGGTAATTTTTCCAGACACTTCACACTGCATGTGTCTCGCTCATAGACTTTAAGCTACACAAAAAAAGGGTGAAATTAGCAGCTATGCAGAAGAAACAACTAAGATCAGGTTGACAGAAATGCTCTTTAAAGTACATGAGCTGAAAGCATGGATTTTTCCTAATTTCTCTATTAAATTAAATCCATAGTAGATTTAAAACATGTATTGCCAAGAATAATTTTGGCTTTTTTTGCTAGATAAAAAATGACAGTTGCAGTGTGTGCACCCTTCTTAAAGTATGTAAGACAAGGTAATACACACTCCTCATCTGAATACAGAAGAGCTGTTCACTAAACCTGACAGATGTTTGAAAGACTGTCAAAAGATAGAACCTTTCAGTTTTTAAAAACGTGGAAAGCTTTTAAAAGAAACAACTACAGAAAAATAAAAATACTGGGAACACTGATGTACTTATGCAATACTGCTGTAACTGTTAGGCCTATTTTGTGGTTTCCAAAGAACAAGCCTTAAAAGCACTTTTTCTGTCTAGCATGCTTAGTTTCCATTTAATAACTTTGCCTGTGTACTTAGCTTAGAGCACTCACCAATGAAGATGTTGACATATGTTATGAATAGTGCCACTGGTATTCCAGTCAGAAATACATAGAATCTCTGTACAGGGGATAGAAAGAAACAGTACAGGAAACTCAGAAGTCTGACAAAATTTAGACAAAAATTATGTAACAGCCAGTAATTCCTAGATTTGCATTCATAGGTTAGATAGGGATGTTGTATGTAAGGACATATTGGTGCTTACAATCAGTTAATTAACAAACTAGACTACAGAATTAGCGATGATGTGTCAGTCCATGAGCCTATTTAGATCAGCTTTCAGTCTCCTGGAGAGGTCATTCTCTGCAGGAGCAGACAGTGACACTTTCCCCAAATGCCGTCTCAGCACCTTATGCTCACTGGCTGCAGCATTTAACTGTCATGAGGCACTAACTATGATGCAGTATAATCCAACATAAATGCAACCACTGCTGGCTTTGGTAACTCCGGGAGACAGATAAAGGAAGCCTGATCACACGACGGGAGTTGTATCGAGTTGGCTGTTACCCGTCATAATAGGCTTTATCCGAAACTTAGCTTTTTAGGGGTCAAACTCAGGTCAGGCTTCCTAAGGCTAAATCGCTGTTTTTAGTGGATTAGGTAACTGAAGGCAAACCCTGCAGAAGAGTAACTTTATATGTTTTAAAAAGGAGGATGGAGTGGAAAGCATTTGTAGGTAATACATATATGAACACAAACATATAATTTAAGAATGCCAGTACAGCATCAATTTAAGTACCTATCACAATCTTTGCCATTGAGCCAATCTTTTTACTTCATCTAGTGCTGATTTTACAACATATGACAAAAAATTCTTTAGGAGAAGAACTGGAAATTCTTGTTCATGTGAATAGTGCCAACCGCATTTTAGATGCTGTCAAGTAATCAGTAGAGAAAATTGTATTTTAGACACTCTTAAACCATTTGCAAGGGATAGTTATAATGAATGTAATAAATTAATTTTTAACTCACCAATAAGTTCAGAAATCGAGTATCATAAAAACTGGTTGCCTTGATAATAAACATTCTCTTCCCATGGCTGCTGCTATGTCGTACAGGAACTGAAAATTAAACCACAGGATTAGGTTTTGGGTTTTTTTCTCCTTTTGGTGATTGTGTCAGGATAAAGTCAACAAGCACGTGGGGGAAAAAAAAGTATACAGCAGCAGCCGAGTTGTTACGCACTGGTTTTCTGGAGGATATCAGTTTCTAAAAGCCTGCCTTAAATTATTTCCTATTTTGCTAGAATTTTGTTATTTTTCTTCTAATTTCAGACATAGATCTATTTCTACCTAGAAGCCTCAACAAATAAATTACTGAATGTCATTACACAGGGTCAGGTAAATTCCCAGATTAGTGTATTAGGAAGTCTGGAGATTCATCTTGCACCCCCCCACGAGGTATTTCCCTGCACCTTGAACGGGTTTCCTACACCTATTCTGCCAAGGCAGGGCCGCAGCAACCGGTACCGCTACCGCCGCC